GGTCCGATGAGGAAATTGATAATAGGACGAATGAACTTAGGAGATTTAGCGATATTCGAATTAACTCCATTCATTTTTTTGTAAGAATAAAAGAAAAGAACATGAGGCAGCTTATCGAAAAACGATTGTCGTCTTTATTTTATAGTAATAATATCACGTGACAACAACAAAACTACGTTTAGGAATAAAATGCACTCAATTGAATAAGCATTGTTGGGTTAAAACCGAAACACAGCATGGAATGGGAAACTACCTAACTATAAATAGCAGAACTCAGTGATGCGTACATGAACTTTACAAAAGCAAAAGACTAAATGATATACATCTTTACAGTTCATTTAGAAATCTAAAGTTACGTGGTTCCAATGGGTCCTTTCGTTCTCGGTGTGATTTTAAGCCCAATGTTTTTTGTTTAGATTAAGACTTGRCTCAATCTTCCAAAATTAAAATGTTAAAGCCATTGGAGTGAGACTTAGTTGCACTTTTGCCGTACTAAATTACAACTTTAGACTCTTTCCAATTCCCATTAATCTATAGGCGATACCTTTGTTTTCATATTTTCCGTTGACAAACCATTTGAGGCTATAAAAGCTTGACCCTAAAAGCTTTATAAAGAGATTATAACAAGATAAGTTCGACGTTTGACCCTGGCCGAAGATGCAAATTATTGCAAAATCTTTGGATTGTATCTTTTTTCATTCATGACCTAATATGCAGGCTTTTAACATGTTGTTTCTAGTGTTTCCCAGTTCCTGAGGCAGATTTTAAATAATCAGGACAATATGCTTAGCCAATGTAGTTTATAATGGTATAATCAGGACGTCAATAATTGTAGCCGCCGGGACTGCTAACCTATTGCGAAATTTAGGATCTAGGCCCATACAGTGATTTTGTGGGGATGGGTTCACTATAACAGACCTAACACTGAATATAAATGACTTTATTAGCATCATTGTTAATTATTTCACGTTTTATCTCATTATTTACTCTTATATGTGTCGTTTTAATTTTGTCATCCAACACTGTTCACCCGCACGGGATAGTAAGCATATTAACCGCAATAGTATAGCATGTCTGACAGCATGGAAACGAGTAGTAYATCCTCTACTATCTACGCCATCTTCGTTTTTTTTTTCTTTGTACATATTATGAATTTTGGTCAATTAAGTTACATCCGTCGTCAATGTGTCTACACTGTTGTCTTCAATCACTCTCTAAAATTGCCGATTTAATCTCCGRTTTCTTTACACCAACTCCCAAAAGATTGTCACTTTTTGACGAGGAAACGGRAATTTTAAGATGTTTCCTTGTCAAACAGTTTTCGACTAGAGTTTCTCCATCGCATTATAGTGTTATGGGTGACAAAATGGGCACAAAACTTTGGCATTAAGGTATTTGAAAAGTCGGKGACGAGACAACGGYGACAGGGAATTGWCGAAGGAACATAAAGGGGATTGAAGTACATGCATCTACGCTGAGATTGAAGTTTTTTAGAATTGTATTTAGAATCTATTATTAAGGGATATTTCCCTGATTAAATCACAGCACTTAATAGGATAAAGCCGCTTTTTTGAAATAGATGTACAATTACATGCATTTAACGCCATTCCATTTCTTTATCCATTCATCAATTTCATTCAATAATATCAGTTCATCGTCCGTATCAAAATTAGAATCGCATGCACAAAAAGTCTGAGATTTTTTAAAAGCAGGTCGTTTTCYGAGATACCATCGCAGCATTATCAAAATAGTCTACATTTATAAAGGTATTTGGAATCTAGTCTGGAGTCAGATTGACTAGCAAGGCAATTCCAGCGAGTGGAATTTTACCTCAAAGACGCCGCCGAAACATATTCCAAGTGTTTTACATCTATGTCATTGAGAAGAATTAGCGAACGCCGTATTTACTACATCTTCACTCAAATAGCGAAGATCCAAGATATCGTAATGAGGGCAAACGTGTAAATCTATCGAAGCGTTATCTCATGGTAATCATAAGGGGGAGGGGAGGGGGTAATCATATCGCACGATTACGGAAATGCTGTGAAGTGTCCATGCATGTATATTTCAAAAACGGATTTTATGGCAGAAATGGCAAGTTTAACAGCATAGATCGATRTGGATAACACTTAATATCGAGATAAAKCTTTCAAAATAGTTTGCAATGAAATGAAATTCTTTTTCTTTTATTTGGTMTTTTGAATAATGGATTTTATCCMGATGACCATACATAGAACTACGATGTTAAATTGTGAAAAGGCTTACTAGCAACTTGTAGTGACATATTARCTACGTATTAATTTAATCAACAATAAATCTGCCTAGATAACAAACATGGCGGTTACAAATACAAACGACCGCTGACAAAACAATAACTGGTTCACAGRCCTCAKGAAAMCCAAAATCGTATARAATGTCTATTGTTATATTACGASAMAAMKWGTGTATTTTAGATTCCCTGGTGATGATGCTGTAGACAGCGAAAGCTTTGAGTCACTTTTATAGTAAACGAGATCTACACTTAGCAGCGTCAGMTACATTTCGTACTTTTCTATTGAGCAGACTTCTCAGAAGTCAGTAATTCTTCCACACACAAGCAAAATAAGCGGAATCGTAGCAACAGTACACAACGGAACACGCCCTTGACCGTGAGTGCACCTGCCCCATTTGTGATCACGACCACAAACCATAAAACACATCGAAAAGTCATATAGTAACTCACAGTATCGTTTTCAAATATCATTCCAATKCACGCGCTCTAAAATCATAATCGCGAAGACCTTTTAGTGTCTTATCTAAAGAATTTAAATTAACAGCGACGCYGAAACAGAATCCTTTTCCCAAGAAAAGTTTTTTGACGTTTGGAAAATATCCTGCACTTAAACTTCGATCTTTGAAGTTCATAGTACAGAGTAGTAAATGGGAATGTTTTCAGGACAAAAACAACACACTTGAGTTCTTGAGTTTATATGTGACTTTTAGCAATATTACCTCTCAACATAAGTGAGATAGGGTCCTCTACTGTTGACCCCAAACACGATTSTGATTTTCACGTCAGTTTGAATGTTTAGGTCGGTAGACACACCATCTAGTTGGAATTCGATTTGTTCGAGTTAGACGTCGAGTTTGGATATCGAGTTAGGTTTCGAGTTGAATGTAAAATGTWTATCTGATATAGAATAGTAATAAATTGAGTGCAAGCACTAGGTCAGTTTTAAACGCATCGTAAACCAAACAGTCTTATCTAACTTTCGATCTGTAAAATCTCCAAAAAACTTTGGGATCGATAAGAATGTCTTAATAAGATTGAGGGATTYTTGCTATCTCCAATCGCTTCTCCACAAAATATTCTTTCAATGAAAAATATTACTTCTAAAGGAAATGGGAAAATTATATAGGGACAGAAATACGACGTATAATGTGAGATAACCAATGTCAACGATTTTATTCATCTCTTTTCATTAATTCCCGCTCCTCTGAAGTACAAGCTGTTAAGAGGAGCTATAGTAAACAATGAATCCATATTCCCTGGTTGCAGCTAATGAAGGATTTCTATCTCCGTGATATTTAGTAAATTTGTCGGTCTGTGTGCTTAATACAGTACATGCACAAGACAGGAAGCCCAAAAAGACTGGTCTGCTCTATGCTCGTGTTCCCGCCAGTTTTACCATCCTAGGCAAACCAGTCAATTCAAAGTATGTGTACTATGAGTAAGCCTTAAGAGGCTTTTACAAAATTATATGATGCTTTATGCTAAACACTTTGCCGCATAGAAATGTCACCAAAGTCAGACATATATATTAGAAAGAAAACGAAAGGTCACTTTTATTAACTTTTTTAGCTCGTCGTAAAACACTGCAGAATTTAATGAACAATAAAAAACATAAAGCAAATATCCCGAACATATATACTTTTAATATGAATTAAAGTTATACTATAAAGATTATTATAACATGGAAATTCACTGAGCTCATTGTTCTTTTACTCTTTATTCTAAGTTCTAAGTTCATGTTATGAACGCTTTTATGACAACACGGCATCTTTGTACATGTTTGTAATCTGATGGAAATAGTTTATACAAATATTTGGATTTAGCCATGAGGGCCCTTAATAAAAAAGATTGATAAAATATGAGATAAAATAATTTATTGGACATTTTTTACGCGCTTTCAACATTTCTGTTTTTGGTTAGAATGAAAGCTTATAGGCGAGACCACTCGGACTGAACCAACCGGTCTCAATATCGTTGGCTTTCGTTCAAAAACMGCCGTGATCATCATTTATGGTATCAACAGAAATATCAAATCATAAATCCGTGATATACAACCTCCGATATTGGCCCAAATCATTCCGCTAGGAAACCACTTCAATGTTTCGTGTGTCGGAATGTCCTTATTAAGAGATTKAAAGATTAGGGAAGCCACGTGAGTGCCAATGACGCAACGATGTCATATAKCCCTAGGGTATATAAACACGGAACGGGTCAAGGGAAACCAGTTACTGGAGCAGCACCAACTGACAACAGTTCGAAGCTTTCAAAGACGAATTCAACCATTTGGATWTTACAATTGGTGTATGTATCTGAGCRCAAGATTTTCTACGTTACAAAGTCTACTCTCAYGTGAAAAATGATTTCGGAGAGCAAAATAACATACATCAAAACTTCATCAAGTATCCGCAAAGAAGAAGCAAGCCATAGGAGTATACGGCACACAAGACATATGATTCCWATAGATTTGTTATTACAAGACTTTTCCATCGCAATAGAGCCTGAAATCATGTACAAAAGACTTCAACATATGCTAAAAGACTGTAACGTTGACGAGATCACCATTTCTGGTGTCACTGCCCTTACGCAAAGCGCACTGGATGGAAGATTAGAAAGCGTTAAATTTCTTATTGAACTCGGGGCAGATGTCAATAAAAAAGACAGATTAGGCTGGACGCCTCTTCATTACGCTGTAAGCGAAGGGTATGAAGATATTTGTGAATATTTACTACAGAATGGAGCGGATTSCAGTGTTAGGAATAAGCAAGGTGAATTTCCAATTCAACTGGCTGAAGACGACAGCATCGCTAGACTTTTACTCGACGCTACTTTTAGAAGAGGGAAGATATCTTTATAAAACCTCGAGAAAAACTATAGAGAACGATATTATACAAAAGCATTCAGTATCCATACACAATTTACGGAGACTAAAAACGTTTTACGATAAACATTATAAAAAGCTGGCTTGCTGAAGACGAAGGCATCGCTAGACTTTACGAACTTGATTCTACTTTTAAAAGAGGTATCTTTATAGGAACTCGATAGAAACAATAGAGAATAAAAAAAAACTTCCCATACACAATTCATGGAATTCATTCCGACAAATGTTTCAAAATAAACATTCAAAGCTTAGGATAGTTCAATTTTTTTATAGCTAAACCTTGTTTAAATTTATTGAGAGAAAAATGTACAATTTTCAAAATCAATTATTTAATCAGTATTCGATAATATTAATGTTAATATTTGCTAAGGGATTGCTTTGGTTGTAAATAATAAGTTTACGTAGTTTTTTTATGTGAAGTAATAGGATGTAATAAATTCTTTAATCTTAAAACTGAGGCATTTTATTCATTATATTTAGAAATACGGACACGAAAAACATAATTATATTATCAATAATATTAGAATTTATTGCTTCCATAAGTATAACTACATAATCTAACCATCACCATCACCACCATCACCATCATCGTCATCATCGAGCCTCAGAAAATAAGAAAACTATACATTTTTATGGATTTTAAAATGTTCCTTGTGGAGGTCTTCATAAAATCGTCATATAATACTTTTCGGTGAAAGGTTACATTAACTACTACCCTAGACGTCCATAGTATTGATAACCTAAAAGGTCCGACACTAATGGTGGGCAGCAATACGTGACGCAACACTACTCCATACACGTGATAGCACACACTACCGCAATATATCATGCTATCATTTCATTTTTACTACTTCCTTGATTCCTATCACGAAGAACTAACGATTCCGTGCCATGTTCACGGGAAGAAGTATGATTTGATACAGTTGCGATGGTCTGACGCTCAAAATTACATCCTCGGTAATCATTTTATGTGTGACTGGAGGCCATTATAATTGTTATTATATATTGTGTAGCTTTACCCATGTTTTCAATTTTGCTTTTTTTACTAATTAAGAGATAAAGAAAAATAATTAATGAACACAAGCTGTCCGTGAGACTAATAGAAGTATAATTGCCGCAATCCTCAAGAAAGTTGACACAGTTGCGGGAGGTTTTTTGAAAAAAAAATATAGGTCACTTAGGAAGTGTACAAAACCTAAAAAAAAAGAGTACAAACCAGACATAGCACTAAATAATGAACCGATTTCTTCTTCAGAAGACTTTTTTTTCACTTTTTTATCTGATAATCGTTTTATAATTTATTTTGCAGATGCGTGGGATATTGATTGCAAAATCGTGTCTATGGACGTGATGTAGTTTGTTTAGTAAATCCCTCTTAATCACCACAGTTGAAAAGACTACTGTCACCACACTGAAATCAAGATTTCAACCTGTATTAACAGGACTAATCCTTTATAATAATAATTCATGCATTTCCGACTTCGAAATCTTTAATGCCATTTRATTATTTTTGAATTGATACTGCAATCCGTGATAAGGAAGCCAAAATGRCGCCTCACATGYTGTCAGAAATGATTATCGACTCATTAATTAAATTAATCAGTAAATGTGTTTATTAAGGACAGCACGACCAAGAGTTGTGAAAAAGCGCACGAACATTATGGTAAAAACAAAACTGGTTACGTGGCATCGTTCCTCCGGTACGCAACGTATTGTGCACATAAAATATACGTCGGATTTTTGGCCGCGTAAAAAACAAGTATTCCGATTTTCATCCTGCGATTTTACACGAAACATACCATCGTTTTCAAAATACATTTTGAAATCTGGCGTGTTTCTGTCGTTTGCGTGAGCATCACGTAGTGATACGCAGCAAAACGTGATTACAAAACAGCAAGTAATTACGTAAGTGACACGGCTCAGTAAATCCCGCGTATGCCTCGTTACCCAACATCATGCAATTCCGCAAAATGACTGATACGCGGTCGACGAACAATGCGTATAGTTTCTCGCAAGAAAATACTCTCAATTAGAACTTCCGACGAAAATATTCGAAGTCYACTAACAATCGTCGAGCGAACAATAAATGTTTGCGAAATAACAATCTTTCAATGGACATTGGCTTCTTCAAGTACACTTGAGTACAACGAGACATGGTGGTCCAGTGGACTCTACCGGTTGACATGCGCTGTCACCACTATATATCAAATAAGGGGAAATCAAGTTGTGTCCTTAGGCAAGACACTTTTCTCTCTCAGCGCCCCRTCTTTTCGGAAAAACAGCTGATGAGAATGGAAAGCTGGTGGTCCTGTCAGTCTACACTGCACGCAAGTTGCATGGGGGATCGACATTGAACTCATAAAAAAMCCCTGACCCCACACTACAATAAATGAATCATTGAGTTGCACAGCGTTTTTTATAACCGCCATTYTAAATCATGTTATTGTCAACAGATTTTCTCCTATTATCGCCAAAAATGGTATATCTTTATTAATTTTTCTAATTCTCTCTAATTATTAAAAATACTGTGTTTCTTTTTCTTTTTGTTTTGCTTGGCTTGAGTTTTCGTTTTGTTTGTTGTTTATTTTTCATTCTTTTTTTCTTGGTTGTTTTTTTTCGTTTGTTTGTCTTTAATKTCAATGAGACCTCTCACTAAAACATGCTAAAGCATAGTTACCTAAATTTTCCAAGTGAAACGTTTTGGCGACTTGCTTGTTTAGTTTTCATTTCAGTTTCWTTTCTGCTTGATATATATGACTATTATCTTAAAAAAGAAAAACCTACCATGTATGCGAAATCATGCATGCATTCTATAGACTCCCTGATACTCTCTAGCTATCAAATATGGCGGTGTRCGCAGCTCTCAACCAAGTTGCCACGGCAATRGCTCCWGCATCGGGAATTGTCAAGTGTGCAGCGCTGACATAGCTAGCGCGACCTGCCCTGGCTTGCATCTGAGCAGTAGACTGGGCACCACTCTCAGCAGCCTTAAAGATATAAGAAAGAAATGAATTAAAATAAGTCGTCTTTCTCGCGCGCGCAATAAATAATTGGGAGTGAGTTTTAGATTCACGTTTACTGCAAACGTCAAATTGGCTTTTATACTTTGTATCAAAATTTCAGACAAACGTAAAAACGCTTCGAAAGGAATAGTGATTCGCTTATTCGTTTACTGCAAACGTCAAATTGGCTTTTATACTTTGTATCAGAATTTCAGACAAACGTAAAAACGCTTCGAAAGGAATAGGGATTCGCTTATGCACGAAAAAGTAATCTATTTTATACAAAGTCGCGAAAGAACGGAGTGTTAATACAGAAAAAAAGTGATCACGTGATCTGTTTTGACGTTCGCCGTAAACGCTGGGCACGACTGGGCACGAATCAGAAAAATGAGGAAAGTGACACTTTGACTATCAAGTTCTTACCTTAACGGCTAGTTCACAGGCCTCTTTGATCGTAACACCCTTTGATAATTGTTCTTTCAGTGTTGCACTTGCAGGATGAAGAGAATCGATCTAATAAAACAGCATCCAAATATCAAACCATTCGAGTGGCAAACATACTATAAAAATCATCTAATACAAGAAATATTAAATGAAAATCTAAAATTGTTTGCTTTGTGTAATTACCATTGTCCTATCCCCAGGCTCAGCTCCACCATATCTGATTATCAGAAAACAAAAATACTGTCTTCACTAAACAAACGAAATGAACTCGCAAGCCCATTCCCCCACAGAACGAAATACACACTCAAGAATCTCTATGTAACCCGATAAATGTAATGTAGGAACCATATTCTTTCAAATTACCAGCATAGGATATCTAACGGTCATTCATTGTAAACTGCCTGATAAGTATGGGTAAACCCAAATCATACGAAACAGGTCTGTAGCAATAAATCAATGGATCCTATTCAAAGCGTTTAGCTCAATATTTTTATGTATATAAGTAAAGTTAGAAGTTAGTGACTTTACATTGAATCAGTTGATTAACTGATTTTGATAATTAATTGATTAATTCAGTAAATGACCTCATGATTGACTGTAAGCCCATCTCTAGTCCTGTTGACCAGTCCTGCGGTGAGGTACCGTTCTTAAGTGCACTCGASACACCAATGAGAAATAAACTGTAGAACTATAGAAAAATAGAGCAAATTAAGACACCAATTAATTAAGAAATCATAAAAGAGGACCAATCAGAAACCACGGCAGAGTTCGGCTGATTTCTTCACAAACACAAAATCATTCAGTTGAAGTTTACTTTGATCTTAAAGGTCCATTAYAAAACGAAAAAACAAACAATTCATCACTACTATAAACAAAAATTTAGTCTGTGTTTTTCCTTAATAATCTATTAATGCACATATMGTAAGATTCTCTATTAAAACCGCACGGATGGAAAGTGATTGTGAACGGATATTTGAAGTCACGTCATTGTACGTGTAGGAAACACATAAACCACAGCCGSATGCTTTTAAAGCCGGTTCGAAATGACCCTTTAAAACCCATTTCTATCCGTAGAATTAGAGGCACAATGAAKGGAGAGAGGGACAAAGGGAAGGAGAGAGGGAGGGAGGGAGGGGGGAGGGAATCATGACGGAAGAAAAGTGCGCAACCTACACTGAGCACAAAGTAGGATAGTTTGCATAGGTTGCCTCACCGCTCCAGAAGATCCACCCATGCTTTCTTCCACCACATGGGCAATATCAAGCAGTGTCTTGTCAATGTTATTGCAGGGAAGACCGGGTGCTTCAATTGAACCAAGTGCTTTCTTTATACCTTCAAACCAAAACGTGAGGAATACTTTTTACTCGAAGCACGACACGTTCAGTTGCCTAATATACTAGTTTGCTAGTATCTATAATTAAGGTACTTTAGGATATTCGTTGAAAACGTTGCGTTACGTTAATCTACGCCAAGTTAGTCAAGTTACATAGAGTTTAACTCTAKTTATGAACACTTACCATCGGCTCCGCGTTTTAAAGTTGTCCCACAATCACCATCACCCGCCGCGTTGTCCARTTCGTTTAGCTTTGCCTCTGCTTTTGCAATGGCATTTACTACTTCGCTGATTGCCTTAAAGACCAACTTTCCTACAATGAAAAACAATCCGGGATGTAACAGATACATAAAACAAACCTACTTAGTACCTATAGAGAATATGTAGCACTGTGAAATACACTGATAAAAAGAAATTCCTCATGGAATTATGTCTTTTTAACCACAACAATTCGAAATTATTTCTATTCACTCAATTACGTTAAAATATATTACAGACAATGCCAATGACACTTATTGGTCGACTGTAAAGGAGTTTTTAGCCCTTCTTTGTCCGGATTACCGAGGTTTCATCGCTTTAMCCTTTATTTGTTTACCTTCAACATTCAGTTTTTCTGTGGGGCGTTTCTGTTCGCCTTGGACGTGGTCTTTTAAAAAGTCGAAGTTGAGAGGTTCTTTATCACAACGAAGACAATTATACGATCTTGGCCAACTTGGTGCAGAGCTGTCACTATCTAGTGAGGAATTGAAAACATTGATCTTATTAAATACAAGCATGAATATTAAATGTKGGCTGCCTGTGACTCGTCCTGGAGAAAGCCTTGTAGATATGTGACTTGAGAGAAAAACATTGACGCATTTGATCATCATCAACATCATCATCATTTTATTCACCTAAATAATGGATCCTGTTTGCATCGAGATGAAGAATAGTCAGTGAAACACCAGCCATGTCAAGTGACGTCATTAATGCASCACAGTAAACTCTGTCAACATTTACTCCTCTTGAATTCACTAGAAAATACATCAAGAATGAATAGGACTATAGGGAACAAGACAAATAAATAAATTAATAAAGCAAACAGACAGAAAAGAGAGAGCAAATTATAAAGGAAGAGACAAGCAGCAGTTTMAATTACACAAATATTGTGTACTGTGAACATACCCAAGAAATCTATAGCTGCTTTGGTAACAAYRTTCAGTTCAAGGTATGACGTCCCTCCAAGATTGTTGACAATAAGAGCAACATGATCACCTAAGAGAGCAAGAATGAATCTCAATAAGTCTTGCATCAGGGACCACYACATATTTTTGATTGGGGRGTGGGGACTTGYGAATGCTGAAGGCAGGAGTTATTAAGGGGATYTGATCACTCTCCCTCATTTTGAAATTACATGATGTAGRCTCTCCTGTGTTCTCTTAGAATTAGTGATCCCATCCTTAACACCATGAAGTTCTTTTCATACTTTTACTCAAATTATGGTCAAAGCATTTTGATGAGTGTGTTTTTCAAAGGATTATCTAGTACGTGTGATTGGTTAAGTAAGTGATGTACCTTCCTTCAAGGCYAACTTATTTGCTGGATTTTCCTGGACATTGGTCATGTGTTCAATCATGGCCTTGACAACTTCATTAGCTGGCTCAATCTACCAAAGTCAGAAAACAATCCACAAATTAACAATTGACTGATGGGCAGATGAATGAATGGACAGACAGACAGAAGTACACACTGATTTTCCACTATCAYAGTCTGACTGATTGAGCTAATTGTATCACTGAATTGTTTGATTGATCGACTGAATGGAGATTTAATCCATAGGTTCTGTTGTCAAAGTAATAAATTATAAATATAATAAATAAACTAACTATTCTACATTTGATGAGCTTTTGAACAGAGAAAATATGAGATGTTGCACCTTAGCTCTCTTAACTCCTGGTTCGCCGTGTATTCCTAAAGTAAAATGACACAAAATTTAGCTCTAATCTATTAACATTGTCTAAGTATRATAAGGCAAATTTGGTTACTATCTACTTATTTGCACAACTTTTAAAATAATTAAGAGTTTCTCAGATACTTTGCTTGATCTATAAGGACAGGCAGTGGCTACATACCTAATCCTAATTCAATTTCATCATCAGGCAATACAAATGAAGGGCCAGATCCAGGTATGGTACATGGAAATAAACTGACACTCATGGTACCTGAATGAAAATATCACAGTTAAACAAATTCTATTATAAACCTGCTATCGCTCTCTCTATTTGTTGAATACCTTACCCATGGCATTTGCTGCAGCAGTGACTACCGTCAATATCTCCTCAAGACTTTTACCTTCTTCTGCCATGGCACCTGCAATCTTTACAAAATAATTTGAGGATGTTGCAAACATTATATTATAAAAGAAAAAAAAAGAAATCCAAAAATTAATTGAAAAAAATTTATAACTTAGTTATAATCAAAGTGATTCTAAAAAATGCTTAAATCAATAAGAAATAATGTTTGTAACTTTTGCGTTTTTATTTTTGCTWTGGTAACCACATAGTTTGTGTCAAATTGAATTGATTGGCACACGACGYTTGACTGCAGGTCGTAATGCAAATGAATTGAAGACTTGCTGACTTGTTAGAGAAAACTGAATTACCTTGTGAATAAAAATAGTTCCACATAGACCTCGTCTTCCTGCACTTTTATCCTTACTGGAAAGCGCACAGTCTTCCCCAACAACGATCATTCCAACTTTGAGCCCCTCAGCCTTGGCTTGCTCTGCCGCGAAGCCAAAATTCAATCGATCGCCAGTATAATTCTTAACAATTATCAATGTCCCGCCACTATTGTTCTTTCCAACAGCTCTAACAGCTGCAAGAATAGAATTAGTTGGAGGAGATGTAAAGATAGAACCAGCTACAGCCGCAGTTAACATTCCTTTTCCAACGAATCCACCGTGAGCTGGTTCGTGTCCACTTCCACCGCCAGACACGAGAGTCACTTGGCCAGCTTTGCGAAGTTCCTCCACATCATTACGAATAACAACGCGATGTCCTTTCAGTAGGTTAAGTCCGGGGTTTGCAGCTACGAGTCCTTCAAGAGCTTCCTCTACAACCGTGTCCAAGTTGTTGATTAGGTTTTTCGTAGTTTGCTTTGCCGCCATCTTGGAATGTATTCAGTCACGGAGGGGAAAGCGTTGTGTGACGATTTGCGTGACCACACAGGCAGCCCATTACCTGATTAATCTGTTTCTCTGTTCTGGCTAGCATGATCTTTAGATGTCATCATGTTACCTCATAGTAAAAGAGGGCAATCATCTATCTTTATATATTATTGTGTTAGAATGCATGCAAATTTTATTTCAGCAAAATTGGTTAATGTTTGGTTAGAAATAAAATCAACGAATTGATTCAAGTTAATATAGACTTTGAAGTTAACACTCAGCAGGGCCAGTTTCATCATGGCTCTAAAAATTAAAAACCTATGAATTTAACTTTTTGATTAGGGCTAATAAAACCGCTTTTTTTTAACTTAAGGTGGTCAGGCAAATAAAGCAACGACAACCCAAGAGAAACAACCCGAAAAAATATAAATCATTGATTTTTATATGCTGTTATTGAAACTAAACTCAACTATTCTTAAAAACAATGAGCGTTTTTAAAACATGGTAATAGAAAAAAGGTATCTTATTATCCGATTTTTATTATCTACTTATTAAAAAAGACCAACACTAGAATTTTCTAAATAGTCAATGTAAATTAAATTTTAGTGTATGTGGAATTTCAGCCCGCGCGCATCTTCGCAAAAAGGCTGTTAAGGAATAGCATTTCGAAACAACATTGCTGATGATATAAAACTAAATTGTTCAACAAGAATTTACTAAATCTAGACATCAAAATAATAACCAGTTTAAATTGACAGAGAAAATGGAAATAATTACAATCTGTTAAAGTTAATATACCAGCTCAGCAGCAAGCCACTGTGCAAGCACCTGTGCAAAAAAAAACAAGTTCTGAACACAGAACTACAGGTGCAACATGCTTATGACACCTTTTATAAATCAAAACTGAGGGCAGCTTACTTGTTTATCTCAACATTATGGAAGCAATTTTATTATCGCAAACTGTTGTCCTACTTACAATGCTCTTCTATCGCTCACAGGCCCAAACAAACAGTTCAAATATTACAAATGACAAACCTGAAGTTTCTGGAAGTCTCAGGCGAGACAAAATCAACATGTATGGCTTTATCAAGTTTGTCAAGTACGAGAACAGTTTTCTGAATGTCAGCGCAGCTTTGAGCGCTTTTGTACTAAGACAAGGAGAATGTGCGCTGCTTTGTGCCAACTTCTGGAATGGTTTGTCCTTCAATTACGCTGTTGACCAAGATGAACATGGACGACATGTTTGTGAGATTCTTGCCACAGATAAGTACAACGACTCTACAAAGTTTTTGACCAACAGGACTGGATTTTCGCATTATGGTATCCAGGTATAGTTATCAAATTGCAATCATGTCGGTCTAAACAACGATGACAGATAACAGTTCAAGAGCTGAAGTGACGATTTTTTTTTTTATTTTTTATTTTATGAATTGTTACCTYAAACAAAATTGATTTAGTCAGTGTAAAACTAAATGTTTTAAAGCAATTGATTAAGCGTTATCTGACACCCTTCCCTTGCCTTTGTAACCAGCTGGGTAAGGATTCAGCGGAAAGAGAGATGTTTTAAGGATACTATAGTGCGCAGTGGGACTAAGCAAAGCGAATCATTATTACACTTATTTAAGCAATAAGCAACACAATTTCGTGCGTTCCTAGTGAAATAAGCCACGCGGGATGTTGGTAGAACACGAAAAAGGCGTAAAAATGGCGTATATCCCAAGTGGTAAATTTTACCAGAAACGCACGAAAATATATTGTTTATTGCTTTTATATTATTTCCCATCCGTACACCGTTTACCGGTGAAACAGACAATAACAATTGACCAATCAGAGAGCGCGTACAAAGCATCACGGGAATAAGGACAATGATAGTTATTGAAATAGAGTTTATCTGTAATGATATCTTTGACATTCAAATTTCGTTTTTAGAGCCCCTGTTCTTCTTCCCCTTGTTTGAATGGTGCGACATGCGATGCTTTGTACGAAAAAGACGAGCATGTCTGCAAGTGCAAATCAGGATTTCAAGGAACATTTTGCGAGAAAGGTATAATAGTTATTAATCAATCGATTGATTGGTTGATTGTTAAATTGAATGACGACCGACGATAAAATTAATTAGATTGAATAACGGAAGTTTTCTTCTTCTCGACTTCTCTTCGTATTAATGGTCATTCGGGAAATTTCGTCGTCACCTGAGAGTAAAGATCTAAAGCGAGAGGGAATTGGAGCGAGTACTAGTGTGCCTGGAGACCCCATCTCAGACCAATTTTTGTGATTTTACATACCCTACCCCAGACTAAAGGTACAAAGGTACATTATTTTAGCGCTGAAAGCGTGGCCTATAGCAGATACGATCACAGGCAAAACTCCACGCTACCCCAGACAATGAGACTATACCCTATCCTAGACAAAAAACTACCCTATCCCAGACAAAACTACTACCCTAACCCAGACAAATGGACAAAAAAATGATACCCTATCCCAGACTTGGAGCTCCGAAAAAGGGACCCTATCGAGAGGCACATACCCGTATAGCAAATATAGAGGAGATCATAGGGGGGATTAGTGTGCAGACATTTCTTTTTAACGTTAAAAAGATTCTTTCAGAAACTGTTTGCAGGAAGTTCAGGCATCTTAATTAATTGTTCTTAAGCAGCAATAACATGATGCACCTCGGAAGTTTCTACATGAAGTCAAAAGCGTAGAAAACCATTTAGTGCATGATTTTTATGAATGTTTTGATTTCATTTTTAGAAATCATCGAGTGTGCTAGCAATCCATGCCTTAATCAGGGCATATGTACAGACTTGTTCAATGGCTTCAAATGCGCTTGCCTTCCAGGATTTTCCGGAGTCCGTTGCGAGAACTCGACAGGTATCATACAAAGAAATCAAAACTGGTGATAAATATGGTAATATGCAGGGCAGGATCCAGGATTTTTTTAAGGAGAGGGCACTAAAATGGCGCGAACTTTTGGCGGAAAATTTGCATGAAGGATTAGTTTGGAGAACGTATCAAATAGAAATTTCCCACTAAAATTAGCGAATTAACTAGGAAACTAGCTGATTCACTTGTTATTTTTCGTCTTAGAAGTTTTATTTGTTTAAAAAAACATGTACGAGAATTTAATTTTTCCTAAAAAGGGGCGAGGGGGGGACCGCCACTGATATGTATGGATTTGGATTGACCCCAAAACCCTTAGAGAGAGTATGATACTTAGGCTATTTAAGCGATAAAAGAGCGAAGATCAAAAATTTAATTAACCATGTATGATGTACTCGATATACTGAGGAATCTACATCAGTTGATTGAATCGTTTGTCAAATAATGTATAAGAGTAAATATCATACTTATGATTTGATTTTTCCACTAGTTGCCGAGTCTGGTCTGGGTCCTCTTAATCAAAGCGCAGCTGCAAATCAAAGTGTAAATCATATTTGCTCACGTAACGAAAAGTAAAGTAAACTTTATAAAACTTTTTTTAAATCCTATCTATTATACACACTTAGTTTCTTTGTACTTTTTCGTCGTTTTCTTTTCCTTAACAAACAAACATTTTATTCACAGATCAACCTTTAGTTATATGCAGTCATATCTGGTGTCWCATGGCTATTACTACTATGCTATTTGTGGTTTTGGTTGGTTTAAATACAGGTGTCTACAATCAAGGTAAAAAATCAAATGCACACCAAGCAAAGCACGTCGACATCTTGTGCTCATTTGATCTGATCTTTTCTAGATTCAGTTTTTTCAAAAGTCAATGTGCAGCGACGCCATATTGTGCAGCAAAGGATGATGGTAGTTGTAGTCCTCGCACTTTTTTATGTTCGCTAAAACAGTCCTCTTAACTAGTTTTTGCGTTTTCTAAGCGAACATAAAAGTAATTTGTGTCGTTTCCACTGGAAAAAATCGCTCACTTAAAAGGTTGTGAAAATTTTATGTAAATATTATGTAAGTGTCTAGCAAAATGATGTAAATTTGATGTACGATGAAAATTATTTACATCAGATTTACAACATTTAAAAGTGCGCAATTTTTTACAGTGTTCTAAAAAGAAAATGTAAAAAAGAAAATATTTTAGGGACTTTGAAAAATAAAAGGACTACAGCTACCATCATGTCTTGCTGCACAAAATGCCGTCGTTGCACACTGACTATATTGAATAGCGTCAAAATCGTTCGGTTCTATGTGTGTTTTTTCTGACAGACTAACTTACACCAAGGCCTACCGCCAAGCGTTCAAAGAAGTCTACAAGATTGTCTATTTTTGCTGCCCAGGTTGGGAAAAGCCGAAGGATGGCGGATCAGAATGCTCTTTAAGTAAGTTATTATGACTGGTGTATTATTAATCTTAGAATGATGCATATTTTGTATCTTAGATATGGCATTTATTTGCGACAGTCTAAAAAGTGTTTAATAAAACTTCTTGCCAATATTTTTTTAATCGTGAAAACAACAGTTTTCAAGAGAGGAATCCATTTAAATTTCTTTAGCGGAAGTCTATATAGTATTCTAAATTTAATAAGGAAATAAAAGAAATGAACAGGGCTTAGAAGAAGGTTATTCAGGGAGAAAGACCCTTGGAAATAAATTCGGAAAAGTTAATTTCCGGCCACGCTGGGATTTTAACCCAGGACCCTCGGATTTGTACCGATGCTCTACCAGCTGAGCTACAAGGTCATACTGGGAGCAGGTCGGGGTGAAATGAATGTTATGTTGCGGAAATTAGAATGTAAAGAAAATTCTTCATAAACTTCAGATATCGACGAGTGTGCTAGTAATCCATGCAAGAACGGAGCAAGTTGTGCTGATTTCATAAATGGCTATAATTGCACCTGTGCAAAGGGGTACGAGGGGGCAAACTGTGAAATAGGTATGATATTTTGTATTTTAAAATACAAGTAATAGACCTATACAGCTTTTACGTCATGTACCGCATACGCAATGCATTGTAGGATATGTTTAGGACAAAACATGGCGGATATCTTTTGTTTTCTCTAGAAACTGATCCCAGAGTGCATTGCAAATCAGTTAGGTGACGCACGAGCTTCAGAAATCTATTACCTGCCCATTTTATTTCTATTTTTGCATGGTTGTAATTTCTCCGTCAGCTAATTTAGTTACTTCATGCACTGCAGATATTGATGAGTGCGCAAGTAATCCATGTAAGAACGGAAAAGTTTGTAAAGATCTCGTAAATGGGTACAATTGCACTTGTCCTGGAGGATACGAGGGCTCCCAGTGCGATATAGGTACGGTATAGGGTAGCGTTAACAGGGCCCAGCACAAGTTATTATTCTTTTGGATTATTCAACTGTTTACACAATGCTAAAACTGTATGGTATAGTACTACGCGATGCACTCAATTTGTACATGACTGCATCATTTGATGTGTTTTTGGAGTTGCATTTTTTAGTCAGAATTTCAGTTTTTAAAATTCTTCATGCATGTGTACTTCAGAGATCGACGAGTGCGCTAGTAATCCATGCAAGAACGGAGCAAGTTGTAATGATCTGGTAAATGGATATAATTGCACCTGTGTAGSGGGATACGAGGGATCAAATTGTGAAGTAGGTGAGTTGGTCGATAAAAAATCATGGAATCATTTCCTAAAAAATCATATAAGCTGTATATTTTAGTGTACATACATACATATTTCGGTTATTTTTGCACAACAGTCATATTTTAAGCCGACTGATAACTAATCACTAAATGAACGAAGGAATCAGTCAAATCTGAATGTGACTCTCCAGCATTCTCGTGAAAGAAATTTCAGTTTTTGCAGCCCTTAATTGATTCATTTAACTTTTTTTTTCTTGGGTTAGTCACACCTCTTTGTGATGTTACGGATCCGCAACCGACCAGGGATGAGAGGCTTAGTTCTAGTATTAATTCAATAGACCTTGATTCCATTCTTTACCTTATTTTTGAGTTGCAGTTTCTCTTAAAATCACAATTTCATTATTTCATGTCTTGCAGACATCAATGAGTGTGCAAGTRATCCGTGCCAGAATGGAGCAGTTTGCAATGATCTCGTAAATGGATACAATTGTACCTGTGCCGGGGGATATGGGGGATYAAATTGCGAATTAGGTACAGTACGTAGGGTTACTGATAGCAATGGACCAGAAGCATGACAAAAGGTTATAAAGGAAATAAAGGATATTACATGGGCGCGAAATATATGTCACTCGAGTGCATTTTGGAACAATGTTCACGTACTGTACAATCTTTTGTATTTACAACCGTTTGCCTTTCCCTATAGATATCAATGAGTGTGAAAATAAGCCGTGTCAAAATGGCGGAACGTGCATAGACAAAGTTAACGCCTACAACTGTACTTGTGCTGTGGGATATACAGGCAGCAACTGCGAGGTAACGAGACCAGTTTCATGCATTCTTCTCTTAAATTTTCTAAAATTGTAATAAATCATCAATAAAAGCTTTTAATATTGATATTGTTCATTATTGCTTTAACAGAATATTGCATAATTGGCGGAATAATTTGTCTTGGACATACAAATGAGATGAGATCGATGGTCACAAGAGCACATGAGATATTCGCAAATCAATGTTAAGGGATCGTGTGGACTCTTCATGTAAAGTTCTTTAGGAGTAAAGCACGGTTTATACTATTGTATGTGTATTTCGTAAGCCAAGCACAATATGAATGAACGAAAACATTGAATACATGAGTAAATACATTGTAATCATAGACCTTAACATATGTCTTGATAACCGCAATAATGTTTTATGCTTATATTTTGCACAAGAGACAAAAACTCAGGACAGCACTGTGCAGCAATAATAAAATCACCATTCCAAATAATTTTAGTCTTTTTCATTTAAGAAATAAAACATTTTTTCCGTACCTTCATATTGCTATGAAAACCGAGGCGTTCGTTTGGGAAAATTCGAGAACAGATCAGTGAAGCACGAGACGGCAGGTTGAGAATTCCCCAAACATACTCCGAGGTTTTACGCGTGTAGTATCGAAGTTATTTTATAATACCCTTTATAAAATTTTTGATATATGACGCGTGCTCTTATTGACTGACGACCGTGTTTATATCAGAGGGCAGAAACACGGCTTACCGGCAAAATTTGCTCCCTACGCTTGTGTTCCTAGGCTTGCTTCTCTCGTGTTTTTCAATTCCCACCGTGTTTTATATCAGAGGACAGAGACACGCACGCCGTTTTATATTTTTTAAATATGGATCGATGTTTCAAATGTCTGACTGACCGCAGTTAGTTATCTCACCTACTTTTTTACGGTGTTAAATTTATCTTTTTACACAATTGTATCCTTAGAAACACCGACGCAGCTCACACTAGTTTACCGCGCTAGTTCCCACCATTTTGACTRCAGAGAGACCGATTCAATTCACGTGATACATGAACTGCGCTCGTTGGTCCACTTGAGTTTTGAACATTTTGTGACGTCAAGAGTGTGTCAATAAGAGGACATACAACTCAAAACCGTGCGCAATTTGTTAAACCCGAAGGTTATAATTATATTAAATAAACTGCACACGGTTTTTAAAAGTTGTATGGGCTCTCTTATTGCATTACCTCCATTGACGTCATAACAGTTCTTAAACCCAAATTATGGACCATGACCAACTTGTTGCGTGTTTCTTTGAAAAGTTATGGTCTTATAATCAATATGTCCGCCATCTTGGACTCCGCAATTCAAGATGGCGGCCGTATTGTTTACATACACGTCTTTTCACATTTCACGACCCGAGCAAAGAACAAAGATAATAAGAGCTAATTAATGTTGTTTTAAGGTTTATAATATATTATAAACGTCTAGACAATTAAGTTTGTACTGGTCAAATCATTCAGTACTTCATCTCTCTGTTGACTTTCTTCGGACATTTGAAACCAAACCTTGGCATTACTAAGCTATTTCCATAATTGTTAGTTTATGCCAAGAACRTTTCAAACAATAAATCCAATTGCAAATATCTGTTTGGCCGGCCCTAGTCTATTAAGACGTGTTATGAAAACAATTGTCATGACGTTCTCAAATCCCTGCTTTGTTGCACCGAACAGCATATATTCATACTGGTAAATTTAGTCTATGGCAACCACAGTTGGCTCCAGGCACTAATAAGTGTCTAAAATTTGATAKTGCCGCAGTKTTTCTGTGGCACCAGTGGTACAAAAGGTAAGATTGAATACAAAAGGCAGTTGGAGCGTTGAAGAGACTGTGGTCTACAGCACTTATCTGTAATCAAGTAGTTATCGTAGGAACTCAACCAAAAATCCTTCGCAAGTATACTTAAAATGACCTCCCAAAAGGTGKAAACTCAGCACACTTGCTCTAAAGGTGGATTTTGCGATGGTTTAGYGGGATTTTTTGTAGCTGATAATTACAATAACACGAACAGGCTTCCTGCAGTTGAGTTAAGCTCTGAATTTTTGTGGTAATCTCTTTTCTTCTAAACCAATGAATAATTTATCGAGGTTATTCTATCATAAATGATGCAGTCATTACCGAAACATTAGATTTGCATTTCAGATTGSATACTGATATTGAAAGCGTATCGTTTCTGTTATCGAATTTGCCAAGAAGTACGCTGGAAGCTTTTGAAGGATATTCAGAAAGGATAATATGAACAGAAGATGAGTGATTTGGTTGTTTTTACAGTTGGTTTTTAAGGTGAGATGAGTGACTGATCTACCTGTCTTTGACGGTCTATTATCAGCATGCTTCGATGTTTACTTTGAGATGTAATTATCTACTATCAGCCAAACTCTATATCACAAACACTGCTTGATTATCGCTGGTTTTCTGTAAGTAAAACAAACTAATGAATAACAATGATTCACATTACAAGAAAAGCGTATGTTTGATTATATTACACAAACCCGAGTGTAACTATGACTGGCTCAAAATTGGCCACTGCTGGACCGACTATTGCGATCCTAAATAATCTGTAATTAAATTTTAAGCACTAACTTAACATAACGAAAAAAAAGTATTTATAGTTTAATAGTTTTTCTCGAGCTGATTTGAAGTATTATGCGTTTGTTTTTAGCGTGCTTGTATTTCACGGTCCGGCAAACAGTTTCGCTTTGAGCATGTGATCACAATTCGTCAATGGGCTTTCAATAATTGCTATTTTTAAACCAATTTGTTCCCTTTTTGGAATACACTWATTCAGTTGAAAATTTATCCAGCTTATCTTCTGAGAAAAGAAAACTATATWAGTTCAAAAATAATATTTAGAATCGCAGAGAAGTGATTCAGTTGAGTGACGACTAGAGAAATGAGCCCGCGCGCGTAATGAAGTTAGCCAAAACTGGCGAGATTTTAATCAAAATCAATTARACTTAACTCAAGAGTTGATTAATTTTTATCAATTCATTGTCATCATGTAAACGTAATCTAAATTAATCGGTAAATTACTTTGTTAGCGGATAGTGTAAACCCAAACAACGTTTTCCGTGACGCCACAAAGAGAGTATCGTGGTGTGCAACATGTATTTATTTGCTGTAGTGGATACTTCGAGGTTGGATTGACGTCAGGGCGCGCAGCCAAACTGGATCAAATCGAAAAGATTCCTCCAAAACATTCCATTTTACCGCTAGAACTTTCGTCAGCTATACAACCTCATACTCAAAGTGAGGTCAGTAATTATTATTATTACTTAATTACGATAAAACATAAATCATTACAAATATCAACTTGTATCTTAAATTGAAATCACGGCCAACGAACAGACCCAGCATTACGATTGGCTACTGAAMTATCGCCTATTCATGATATATGTCGAGAAAAATTGATCTTGACATGGTCTCTTTTGTCAAAATTTGCCATATTATASTTTGGTACATACTAAGCCGGGGATTAACACTGTTCTAACATTAATCCAATGGATAGCGGGAAGATTAAGGTTTAAAGTCGGAAAAACCCGGGACATTGTTATAATGTTAATTTCTCCGGTATCTATTGCCCGAAGGTTGGGGAGTCGCGGTCATTTCAATTGACTGATACATTTTTAAAAAGCACACTAGTTGTAATTAATCCAGGTTCAAATTGGATCAAATTAGTTGGCATGCCTCTTTAGAGAACACTTAGGATACAAAAAGGTTAAATAGAAACCATCACTGTCTTCGCTTTGAGTCCGACACGCGTTTCTTCAGTTCCCCTTTCACGATTAAGTTTCATTTCTTCTTGATGAAGTTGTCCTGACGAGTCATGGCCGGGAAAATGGAAAGAGAATCTCATCTTCGCTTTGAGTCAGGCATACCGTTTATTTAATCATGATGATTGCAATCCTACCAAGTCTGACAGTGCAGACAATTACAGCCAACTCTCGCTATTACGGACACCATCTGGTCCGTAAATTAGTGTCCGCAGTAGCCATGCGAGAGTCCGTAGTAACGAGAGTTACTTTCAGTCATTTCTTCATAGTTTTCGCCGGGGATTCAGTATTTTACTGTCCGCAATATTGAGGTGTCCGTTGTAGTGGGGTGTCCGTAATAGCGAGAGTTGAATGTATATTATTTTYATCTTGTCAGTAGATTTTCTCAGACTGAGACAAGTGCTTATCAGCCTCTTTTGTTAAAAGTTTGCTTAAGATACACCCTTTATCTCTATTCTCTGCAGCTGTGAGCGAGCTACTGATATATTAACTTGTAATAATTTCTGTCCTGCTATACATTTTGACACTGACCTTGATAACATAAACTCTTCTCTTCATTCTTGCAGTAATTAACAATGGTGTTCTGYAARAGGAGCAAGAAACCCCACCCTAGGGATGGGCCATGGGCGTGGTTGGTTTGTATCGCTGCTACAGTGATCTTTGGATTGTCATTTGGATATATGTTAAGCTTTGGTGTCGTTTTACCGGTGTTAAGTAAGCATTTTAACTCCAGTAGAGGAAGTACAGGTAGGTCTACCCATATGTGAAGCTTCAACATTTAAACTTACATGTAGATATCAAATTCATTAATAATTCATAACATAAAGTAAACACAATGGAAAATCATTGCCATGACCACATCTTTATATGAGCAAGAGATTTGTCCTGATTCGCATTCGATTTTAACTTCGCCGATTTTCTCTTAAAAATGATATCTAATCATGAAGTTTTTTTTTCAAAATATGCTTTAGCTTATGTTGGAATTGCCATCTTCACTCATTAGCTAATACATTGTCTTCATTCTGTATGCTGTTAATGTAATTTTCTGTGTTTGTCGTAGCTTGGATTGGTTCATTGGCGATTGGATTCTCGTATCTATTTGGCCCGCTGGCTGTCAAAACCATAGACCTTGTCAATGAACGGACGGTCGGTGTATGCGGGGCTTTACTAGCTTCATCGATAATGGCAATCAGTTCATTTCTCAACAACATAATAATTCTCTACTTCCTTCATGGCGTCTTTTTGGGGCTTTGCGGAAGCTTCATTCTCAACTCGCTTTTACTAATAATAAGAAAGTACTTTAAAGACAAGCTCGCGGTGGCTATAGGGATAGCATCGTCGGGATCGTCGTTTGGTGTGCTRTGYATTGGACCTGCTTTGCATGTACTGATAGATTTCTTAGGGTGGAGAGGAACGTTYCGTGTTATGTCTGGTGTGTTTGTTATCATAGCACTGTTGAGTTTAACTTTTGATCCTAATATTCAAGAAGATGAACATACTACTGCGATCACGTGTCAGCAGCGTGACGAGAGATCGTCGACAACACGCTGTCAGGGTTTCATAGACTGTTCGATATGGAAGTCAAGGCGGTATGTTGTGGGAATTGTCACTATTTTTCTGATATACTTTGGGGTCCTTGTACCAAGCATTCATTTGGTAAGTATATCGTGAATAAAAACCAACAACAGCMAAAAGCAGCWGCAACAACAGCAACAACAACAAAAKAAATTATAACAAAACAACAACCGTATCAATAACAACAGTAGCAACAACAAAAACATCAACAACAACAACAACAAAAACAGCAACAGACAACAACAACAGCAGCAAAAACATCAATAATAACGAAACAACATCAGCATCAATAACAACAGTTAGCAACAACAAAAACATCATCAACAACAGCAACAACTACAGCAGCAGCAACAACATCACTAATAACGAAACAACATCAGTATCAATAACAATAGTAGCAACATCAAAAACATCATCAACAACATCAACAACTACAGCAGCAGCAGCAACAACAACAACAGCAACATCTGGGTGATTGATTTGCGACCAGGCCTGCATATGAATTCGCCAAGGTTGTAAGCCMGTKAGCYCKTGCRWTTTTGTTAAGCGGTCATATTTGAAAGTGTAAATAAAGAAAGGAAAAACCCGCATCTCGCCTTTCACTCAGATAAACAGTACAAGTCGTGTTAAATTTATTTACATAACTAAACAAAATGATTATAGAATTAAACCTTTAAGAATTGAATGCTCATATGAAACATTTTCCACCTTTAATACACACGTGTTTTTCAGAAGGGAATTTAGTCGAACTTTATTCACGATGGAATTTTGTTTTGAGTCGTCTCGACATAAACAGTCGCTATCAAGACATTACACGAAAAACCCCAATCACCGTTCTAGCTCTCGTTGTACAGAGCTAGTAAATGTGTAACTGGCCTGTTACATAACGTCAAATCGTCGAGCACGCTTGCGGCTTATTGCCGAAAATGCGACAAAGAATGAACTACTACCGTTGTTTGTACCAAAAATAACAAACGCTATTGGAATACGTGGACCTAAGCTGCTCTAGCTCTTCCATTGATGTTGGACATGTTGTAGATACCTCAAAGCTTAGAGGAAACAAAAGCTAAGAAAAATGATTTGCAATGGTTCCTCCTAAGATACATTGGACTTGAACGTCGCTTCAACGACCTTCTGAAGTCTTCGTGAAGTCGGTCATTGCTTCGCATGCAATGGAGAACCCGCGTAGAACACAGAACAATTATTTCTATCAGGGAGGGGAGTCTCGTGGTATTAAAGAAAAAGTTATTTGTTTTTTCATTTTTAAGATAAAATTCTCTTTCTATAACGATAAATATTTGATTGACATTTAAAAGCTATTTTATAAAGATTTTCAATTTCTCTTTGCGTTTTAGCTTCGATTTTTCGGATAGAATAAAATGACAGGCAGCCTACTCCACTGGGTCGAGTTTTGCTGTGCAAATTCCTCCCGTCGGAGGGTTATGTTTACAACATAAGCTTGTCAGCTTTGCGCTGATTGGCTAGTCGCATTTTCTCAAATCACCCAG